GAGGAGATCTACATATCCGTATTGCCAAGCTTGCCTTCCACGCCAAGGAAAGTCCCGTCCGGACATGGGACGAAGTCTTCAATCTGGTATCTTCATAGTCCAACAGTCTGGCTAAAGGATATAGTCCGGCTATCCGGAGACCCCCTAATCCAGGACTCCCTCATTGGGTGCTATTTATGCTTATGTACGGATACAAGAACAAAAGAGTTTGTAAAAGTTTTTCTTTATCACTTTCAGTTTGTCAACTGAATTGCTTGAGGACTAGCAATGAGTTAAGCTTGGGAGAGTTGATACGTCTCCATCGTATCTACTTTTTCAAACACTTTTGCTCTTGTTTTGGACTCTAATTTGCGTGATTTGAATGAAACTAACCCGAACTGACGCAATTTTTAGCAGAACTACCATGGTGTTGTTTTTTGTGCAGAAATAAAAGTTCTCGGAATCAGACAGAACTTTTTGGAGATTTTTTATGGAATATATGAAAAATATTGGAACGGAGATCCACCAAAGGGGGGCCACCTATTGCCTATAAGGCAATAGGGTGCGCCCACCCCTAGGGCCCGCATGTTACCTTGTGGGGCCCACGAGGCTCCGCCGACCCTAATTTCAACTCCATAGATACCGTCTTCCCGAGAGAAAAAAACAAGAGAAGAAGTTTCATCGCTTTTACGAAATGAAGCCGCTGCCACCTCCTGTTCTTCATCGGGAGGGCTGATCTGGAGTCCGTACGGGGCTCCAGAGAGGGGGGTTCATCGCGATCATCATCATCAACCCTTCTCCATCAACAACTTCATGATGTTGACTACAGGGAGTGAGTAATTCCTTCATAGGCTTGCTAGACGATGATGGAGTTGGATGAGATTTGTCATGTAATCGATTCAATTTGTTAGGGCTTGATCCCTAGTATCCACTATGTTCTGAGATTGATGTTTCTATGACTTTGCTATGCTTAATGCTTATCACTAGGGCCCGAGTGCCATGATTTCAGATATGAACCCTTTATGTTTTCATGAATATATTTGAGTTCTTGATCCTATCTACTAGTTATATGCACTTATTATTGTTCTGATCTGTAAACCCCAAAGTGACAATAGTTGGGATACTCTCCGGGGATGGCTATAATTCGAGGAGTTCATGTATTGACCATGTGTTAATGCTTTGTTCCGGTTCTCTATTAAAAGGAGGCCTTAATATCCCTTAGTTTCCCTTTGGACCCCACTGCCATGGGAGGGTAGGACAAAAGATGGCATACAAACTTATTATAAGCACATATGACTATATACGGAATACATGCCTACATTACATTGATGAATCGGACCTATTGTATATTGCTCTAGGTTGTGACTGTTACATGATAAATATCATCCAACACAAATATCCATTGCTGATCCAATGCCTACGCTTTTCTTATAATGATCTTTGCTAAGTTAATTTCGTTGTTGTTGTTGTTGTTACAATCACTACAAAGCCGCTACTGTTACTGTTCCTGTTACTGTTTCTAGTATTATACCATTGCTATCAAACTATCATACTATTGTGCTACTAAATACTTTGCTGCAGATATTTAGTTCTCCAGGTGTGGTTGAATTGACAACTCAAGTGCTAATACTCATAAATATTCTTTGGCTCCCCTTGTGTCGAATCAATAAATTTGGGTGAAATTTCACCCTCGAAGACTGTCGCGATCCCCTATACTTGTGGGTTATCAATGCTCCCCTCATGTGGATTGGTTAATTATAGGAGATTTCAACTACAATAGGTACCCTGAAGATAGAAATGGAGTTGGAGGCAGTTTTAATGACATGATGAACTTTAACTCAACCATCGGTGAATTAAGCTTGAGTGAGATTCCACTCAAAATAGAAAGCTCACTTGGAGCAATATGCAAGAGGTACCCTTAGTAGAAAAGTTGTATTAGTGTTTTCTTCTGAATCCTGGATGTTAAATTACCCCAATACTTATGCTTCTACTCTTGCTAAACCCGTATCTAACCATGTGCCTTGTGTCATTCATGTGGGATCCAACATTCCCAAAGCTAATATTTTCATATTTAATTATTTTTTTAAAATTCCTAGAATTCAGAGATGTGGTCAAAAAATTTGGGATCAAGAGGTGTCTATGACTTCTAATGCCAAAAGGATTACTGTTAACTTTAAAAGGCTCGAAAAGGGGCTAGAGATTTGGGCTAAGAACTTCTCAAATTTAGCACATTACATCAGTAATTCAAATGATTTGATCCTTGTTTGGGACATTTTAGGAACTCAGGCCCTTAAGCACTAAAGAGTGGAATGGAAGGAACATTGTCAAAAAGCATATGGGTAACCTTTTGGAATATCAAAGTGCTTATTGGAAGCAAAGAGAAACCATAAGATGGGTTAAATCTAGTGATGGTAACACAAAATTCTTCCAAGCAAAAGCAAGAATCAAATACAAAAATAATTATATTCCTATGCTCTTGGATGAAAACCAAGCTGAACATTCCGATCATCAAGCCAAAGTTGCAATCCCATGGAGAACCTTTAAAGATAGACTTGGCACTTCTTCTCCAACTTCCAATTTCTTTCACCTGCCAAGCTTACTTCAGAACAATGATCAGATTAATCAATTGGAAGAACCTTTTTCAAACGTAGAGATAGATAGGATGATTAAAAATATGCCCTCTAGCAAAGCCCCTAGTCCTAATGGATTTAATGGTGCATTTATAAAGGCTTATTTGGGATGGATATCATATCTAATGATTTTTATGAGCTCATTCAAGATTTCTACTGCGGAGATATTGATCTCAAGCTTATTAATAGCTCCTTCATCACTCTTACCAGAAGAAGGACAATCTTCTCCTTCCTAGTGACTTTAGGCATATTTCTTTGCTCAACTGCACAATCGGAATCGTCACAAAGTTATTGGCAAACAAGCTGCAGAAAATCATTCTCCAGTTGGTGCACATATATCAATATGTTTTTTAGGAAAAGATCAATCCAAGATTGTCTGGCTTGGGCCTTTGAATACATACATCAGTGAAAGCAGCGAAAGCAAGAAATAATTATTTTAGCGCTTGACTTTGAGAAGGCCTTTGATGTGATTGAGCATGAGACTCTTTTTCAAATTCTGAAAGGAAAAAGCTTTGGTGATATATGGATCAAGTGGATGAGCATGGTCCATAGCACATGCTTCTCATCTGTATTGCTTAATGGGGTTCCAGGAAAACAATTTCACTGTAAAAGAGGGGTTAGACAAGGGTACCCTCTCTCCCCTCTTATTTTTGTTCTAGTCGCTGATCTTTTGTAAACCATTCTTAATGAAGCAACGAATGCCAATTTGATTCAGGTACCCCATTTACCACATTCCAACCAAGATTTTCCAGTGATTCAGTATGCAGAGGACACCATCTTGATCATACGAGTAGAGGAACCTCAAATTCTTCAACTCAATAATCTTCTGACTCATTTTTCTGCTCAAACTAGTCTGAAGATTAACTGTAGAAAATTAGTTTTGCTTCCATTGAATGTGCCCGATGAAATCCGAACAGAATTCTTGATCTTCTGGGACGCAAGCTGGGTAACTTTCCACTCACATATCTGGGCCTCCTCTAAGAGATGGAAGATTGAAAAATGAAGGTTTTAGTCCTATTTTGTCAAGTAATAGAGCGAAGGTTGGTCGGATGCTCCACAATGCTATCATATGATGGAAGACTACAACTTATTAAATTTGTGTTCTCTTTCATGCCTATTTTCTTCATGTGTGCTTTAGCCCTACCTGCTGGTGTCATTGAGCAAATAAACAAATACTTCATACACTTCGTTTGGAGGAAATATGGACAAGAAAACTCTGGGCAAACTTTAATAGCCTGGAACACAGTACACAAGCCTAAAAGTCGGGGTGGGATTGGTATCCTAGATGTGGTTGTCCACAATAAAGCTCTCTTGATGAAAACCCTTAAAAAAATTCTTCAATAAAGAAAGTCTTCCTTGGGTGCAACTAATTTGGGACAAATACTACTCCGAGGAATTTCTGGTGAGAGGATGGTGGATTCTAGCTAGTGGAAGGCACACCTCAAACTATTCTAGCATATGGTTAACAGTGCTGACATTTATGTCTTCTTCCACACCCCTCTCTTAGCTCAAGCTTTTGCTCAGCTGAATGAGCTTCAACTGTTGCTTTCTCAACACACCAATTGGCAGAATCAAGATAGGTGGATATGCTCTGAATAAGACTACTCTTCCATCTTAGTGTACAATACTATGATAGATGGAGTGGAAGCACACAAGATCTTCAAATGGCTCTGGAATGTGCTGACAGGATTAGGCATACGATATTTTTCTAGCTACTGCTTCATGATAGGGTCAACACAAAAAACTCCTAAGAGGAAAACCATGCACTTGGACTGCTATGACTTTGTTATTTTGCATGAGGGTGCTGAAGAACCCGCTCTTCATCTTTTTTGGGACTGTCTTTTTCCTCAGGACTGTTGGGCCTCTATAATCACCTATAGGCAAAGAGGAACTTATACGTATGATGAGATTTTACTAGCCCATCAGAAATTTCCCAAGGCCTTGGAGATGGATATAATTATTCTAGGGTGCTGGAACTTATGGATTCTAAGAAATGGCAAGATTTTCAGGAAGTTACTTGCAGAAATTCCTGGAAATTCTTGCTCAATAAGGACATGACCCTTCTAATTCACAGTTTCAAAATTAAGCATGAACAGGCCCTCAAGGATTGGATTATTTCCAATCTGGGATGATGTTTCACTCTAGTTGATCAAATCTATGGGGATACCTAGATCAGGAATTGGATAGGATCTGCCGCTTTTTCCTTTTTCTTTCTTTCTTTCCTTGGCTACTTTTTACATATTACTCATTTAAATTTAATAGAAAATATGTGCTTAAAAAAATTCCAGAATGTTTCCATCCATGTGTTCTACGGCTTATATATGTATTCTTAATTTATACGGCTTATCATATGACAGCTCTCTGTACAACAACTCGGGTGGCCAAAAAAAGTCACAACTGACGGGAGATCCAAGAAAAAGAAAGGAGACATGTATGTGTCCACGTAATAAAGTTGACGTATGTACAGGATACATGATTCAAGCAGCAGCCTGGAAGTCCCCAAAGTCAAACTCATCATCCACGCTTCCTTGTTTGCTCTTCTCTGCTGCGGCTGGTTGATTACGAGGAGCAGCTTCTGCTCTAGCTTCCACGATATCATCCAGTGCTTCTTCTTGTGAAGGAAATTCTGCTTTGAAAGGAGCGGCGGCGTCCCCGGCATCGCCGGTGCCTGGTTGTTCCTGGGAAGGAAATTCTGCTTTGAAAGGGGAAATGGCAACTCCAGAATCAGTTGGAGACACGGGTGAGGGTGGAGGTGGCGGGAGTTTGAGGGACACTGTGGCCTCCTTGGTGTTTGCTTTTTCATTGAACGACAGCTTGTTCAGACCTTGCTCGAAAAATGCAGATTTTGTCTTGCTGGCACTTTCTTTCTGCATAACAGACCCAAAAATCAGGGGCATGTTACGTGAAGAACATGAGAAATACAAGGCAATTCAAGTGCTTATCAAAGGCATGCATACAAATTTATTACTGTAGCATAATACACTTTAGTCAACTAATTTTGCCGCATGAACGAAAATATTCTTAACTATAGCTTAGTAAGGTTCAGTTTTTTCTCAAGTTCTTACGTGACAGCAGCTCAAACTGATATATCCCCGAACATGCAAGGGTATATGATGTTCTCAAATGCCATTGGAGGAACCTTGAAGATGCACTAGACTGTGTTTTCTAGGTCAAGATAAGAAGATTACCCCAATTCAATAAATCCCATGCATGACCGGAAACGGAGGTTGCACACAGAATAATTGTGCATCTTAAAGTGGAAAATACTAGTTAAGCATAAAAAATCATATATGCTACTCCCTCTGATCCAAAAAAAGTGTCGTGCCTTTAGTTCAGCTTCAGTTCAAATTTGAACTAAAGCCACTTTTTTTGGATCGGAGGGAGTAATTTTTAAGACACTTAAAAATAATCCCATGACCAAGCTTTAATTCATTTCTCCTGGAATAAGAAGTCAATGAAAACTTACATTTTTTAGTTGGAGAACTAAAGTTTCCCCTTCTTTGAGGCTATAATCCACTGATGACGTATTCTCATAGTGCTGCACCATCTCTTCAGCGGTCTTCTTCTTGTTTAGATATCTTTGATAATGTAAGAGAACAACAGATTATATGAACAACTTATTGTGCAACTCTAATACCATACACCAATATATTTAGAAATAATAAAGAAACAGGAAAGAAGAAGAAAAGTGACTGGCCAAGAAATATTTCATATAACTTTAAAAGAAATATTTTTGTCAACTGGAAGTGCATTCAAAGTTCTGAGCATTGCTCAGTGACCTGACTGGATTCATGTAATAGACCAACTTAGTATTAAAATTGTTGTTTCAAAACAATAATATATTGTGCTAAGCAGACATTACTTTTTGATCTAATGGAATTCCACATATATAGTCTCTGGTCGTGGACTGACTTGCATGGGAAACATTCATGTGACAATCCAAATTACAGGCAACATATTGTGTTTCAAGATAAGATAAAAGGATACTTCATATGGTCATGTAGAGCAGCTTGGAAGTCATATGCTTCAGTTCTTTCACGGAAGCCTAACCCTATAAAAGCATGACGCTGACGCCCATCTGCAGTGCATAGTAAGAATTGTCATGCTTCTATATACGAACCATTGCAAGAAATGGTGCTAACCAGATCAAGTAATATGCTCAGCACCTCAATACTACTTGTCAAATACCATGCTCACCATCTCAACACAACTTAACAAACACTATGCTCACCAGCTCGACACTAAGTATCAAATACTATGTCAAACGGCTAAACTCAGCAGTAAGTAGAATGTCAGTGCAAATGCAAGATCTTATAACTCGAGGAAAAGACAAGTTATCACCTATATTCTCTTCAACGCGAAGTACAAAATATCTGCAAGCAATAAGAATCGTTTCAGGTTCTGCTAATAGAGTATTTGCGGTGTCTAACCCAGAATGGAACTGCAAAGGCACACATTTCATTATACAATTAGACTGCCCTGTGGCAGCAATATATACCGACCTGCTGCTATCAATTACAGCTTCCACCGGATGTGGTTCGCCTTCTCTCAGAAATGCCCTGGCATACAGCTCACCTGAAATGAGCAAGAGAAATTAAGAAGTCAGGATTACAAACGCTACAAAGGAATGGCCAGCAGTAACAAAATTACTGTACCAGTGCTCTTGTCTTCCAGTTTGATGACACATTCTTCCCCCTTGCTGGCAACCTTAAGTGCCCCTTCCCAAGCCCATTTGTTGACATTCCACTCATCAGCCCTAGATGTCACTAATGTAAGATCATTTTCAATAAATTGCGGAAGGCATGATATGGTCTGAGGAGTGGATTAATCCTATGGTGGGGTAGTCCATGATATATGTAGGATTTCCTTCCTAGTCTTTTTTTCAATTATCACGTTCGTATAAGCAATGACGCGGTTGCGAACTGGTGATACATTCAAACCAAATAGAAGATAAGTTCAATCCATCACTCGAACCGGACACCAAAAAGGACGAACAGGCAATCGTGAAGCAAAATAGTGCATTAGCTTTGCAATCAAGTTTGCAAATGCGAAAAAAATGCTGAAACAAGGCCTGCAACCTTTAGCTAATTGTGATTTTCCTGGTCTATTTAGCTACTAACGCTATTCAACCTGACAGTCAACAGATACAAATCCTAACAAACCGTTATCAGATTCTTCAACGAACTAAGAGGAGCAGAACCTGTAAGAGGCGGCCGTCTTCCTAGGAGGTATCTGCACACAAAAAGGCCCCAAAACGTCAGGCCGTCGGCAACACATTCATGCACAGCAAGCGCTCGATGAATCCCCATCACTAGATTGTCACAGAAACCAAAGAGAATTAGGACGAATACCAGATAGACGTAGCACTCGGCGACCTGGAACAGCACGAGCTCCACCGCCTCGGGCTCGGTCTCCGCCTGCGGCTGCTCGCTGCCGCTCGCCATGGCGCCGGCCGCCGAATCAAGGTAGGGGTATAGACCTCTCTTTGCAGGGGAGGAGCGAATCGGGTGCGGGGGTGATTTGGGAGGGATCGGGTGGGATAAGCAGTGGTTGGATCCGAGCTCCGAATGTGGCGACACGGAGTGTGAAGAGGAGGGATCCTTTGGGTTGGGAGGTGAGAGGGGAGAGACTGAGGAGGACGAGGAATGTAGGAAGGAGAAGGGAAGGTGTTGAGAGTTGTCCTTGTCGACCGGCGCCAGCCCTGGCCGGTCACCTCCCTGCCCCTTAGATGAGAGGGTGCGGGGCCGTCTGATCCTCCCCTCTCCCACGCCTATCACGGTGGTAACCACCCTTATAGAATAGGATTATCATAGGAATAGAAATTTTATAGAAAATGAGATGGCATGTATCTCAAATCTTATAAGTAGGAATAGGAAATGAGATGTCATTTGGTTGACATCAAAGGAATTTTTCCATTAAGTCTAGGCTCATTTTTATTTTCCTATGAAAAGTGGAGGATAGGAACCAATCCTATATAGGAATAGGAATCCATTCCTATAAACCAAAAGGCTCTAAAGGAAAAAATCCTATAAAAATCGTATCCTCTAAAATTCTTATGAAATTCTTCCAAACCAAAGGAGGCCTTAGCTCGATGTTTGTCATCGTCATCAACTGCCGCCAAACCCCACCGCATTTCGCCATTGCTGTTTGCCGCCGCCTATCGAGCAGCACGCCTCACAAATTTGTCGCGGCACGGATGGTCACTAGCCACCAGTCTCGGCTATACTCATTGCGTCGACTGTCTTGCTCTGCACCGACCGCCCTCCTCCGCATCGCGTGTCCCGATGAGGAAAAAATTGATCGCCATTGAAGCAGCATCAACTCGCCCTCGCAAAAATCGGCACCGGTTATCGACGGGATCAGGACGGGGGTACCCCTTGGGCCTCCCCAAAGGAGCCATCGAGGGCCCTCCGTGAGGTCAACCCGATGGGCCATGGGAAGTGCTCGGGGGAACTCCCTCTTTTCCGAGAGAGGAGGTCCCGCATCCCAGCGTGTCTGGTCGTGCCCAAGTGGCTAGGAAAGATGATCTGACATAAGAGGGGCATACCTCGGCAAGGACCATGACATGAAAAGCTAGGGCATGGGCATGTACCGCCCTCTACGAGAAGGTATGGATTAAAGTGATGTGAAGGGGGTAGGTAAAAATGTAGTTGTCGATGTCACGGTATAGGTGGTATCGATGAATGTAAAATCATGAATAACTTGTGTACTGTTTGATCTAACCGTTGGGAACCCATCGGTTATGGGTACGAGTAAAGTTTTATATCCATGGGTACGCGTATGGGAAGAATTTTGTACCCATTGACTACACGGGTATGTGTATGGTATTGCTCTACCTACCCCATACCTTGCCCATTTCCATCTTTAGCTTATATAGATGTCGTGGGTACCTAGGGTTACATATGGTCGGTTACATATGAAGACAAGTATGCTGAAGACTGCATTCGTCCCTTGGAGTATGTTTCAGGTCTTTGGAAGATCCCATCTTGATTCCTTCAAGGGCTCGATGTGTGATATTTTTACACTCATTCACCTTTGTTTAAACCCAGATATTTCATTTAAAAAAGAGATATTCGCTCCTCTATTGCCACTAATGACCAATGAATGTATAGGATTCCACAAATCCTCTCTTTGATGTGTTTCCATGTGGAATGGGCTAAAAAGGGAAGAAATCATGTGTGGAAATGGAATGGAAGGAGAATGGAGAAAGAAGGAATCAACATGAGGCGTTTCTGCGAAGACAGAGCAAAAGACGGTGTTCCATACGGGCACGTGAGCACGTATGAGTGCTTGTATGGATACCACAAGTGGTGTTCAAGTTATCATTCATGACAAGAAGTGTAGCAAAAAAAGAGCTAAGTTGAAAAACTTTGAAATGAATTCTTTGTTGTAGTTGCATTTCTTCCTTGAACGATCTTGGCCTTTGTATGAGAAACCCGCACGCTAAGGAACCTTGTCACCACCAGTTGCTCTCTTACTTTGTTTCGAGTCTGTTTGACAACTTAAGTAGCTGCACTGTGACCGTCAAGTGTGACCTTGCCAGCAGCGGCACTTCCGGCATGCTGCTAAGGACCTGTTCCTCAAGCGCTCGCAGCAAGAGTGTAGGGAGATAGCACAAAACCATTCATCATATAGTAAGTTGTATTACATCAGAAGCCAAATGCAGTTCTAACTTAAGATGAGTCTGTCTTTTACATGAACTACATTTACAGCCAAATGATACAAGTGAAGGGCTAGTCCTTGTGCTGGCCCTTAGTCCTAGGGATCTCGGTGACCTTGTCGGCAAGCGGCCCTTGCTCCTCGGCGGCCTTGGTGTCCACTCCCTTCGGCAATCTTTTGAAAGCCTTGGGGATGTCAAGGATAGGGTTCCGGCACATGAGCTTGACGAGCACCTTGAAGAGGACGTCATGATAGAACGCGCGGGACTAGTGGGTGAGGCTGGTGGATCTCTCTGCATGGTGCATCTTTAGTGCCTTGATGAGATTCTAGAAGAAGTGCGTCAGCCTGGCACTTGTGGCCTCATGCTCGTCATCCATGAAGATGTAGTTGTCCATCTTCATGATGGTCAGCTGCGAACTGAGGCGTTCCGCGATGTCGACAAGGCTAGTGGTCCAGAGCTCCATGTTATCCCTCGGATCATTGATGGACTTCTCAACGCCGACGAGTGAAGCCTTCTCATTGTTCTAGTTCACTAGCAAGTCCTTGTCCCTTTTCCTGCTGGCCTCGAGATCTTGCTCCGGAGTTTTGAGTTTGAGCTTGAGGTCAGCAATGGAATTGTTGGCGGTGGACAGCTCCATATTCTTGGCAGAGATGAAAGTCTGTAGTTCAGCCAAGGTGTAGGCCACCTTCTCTGCATCGGCCTTGTTGTCGGCCAGAGCTTCCTCAAGCTTCTTGACTTTGGCATCCAGCTTCGCTTTGATGACCTCGGCAGCTTTTGCAGCCTTGGCGGCCTCTACAAGCTTGTCGGCGTGATCAGTGATGGTAGCTGGAACTACATTGGTATTTCCCTGGAGAGGGAGGGGTGATGTAGCACAGCGACGGTAGGTATTTTCCCTCAGTTATGAAACCAAGGTATCGAACCAGTAGGAGAACCAAGCAACACAACGTAAGCAGCACCTGCACACAAATAACAAAACCTCGCAACCCGACGTGTTGAAGGGGTTGTCAATCCCTTCCGGGGTACGGCGCCTCAAGATAGGCAAACGGACGTGAGGTAAATTGCAGTAGATTGATAGATCGAACGCCAAATAAAATAAATAAAGATAAAACGCAGCAAGGTATTTTTGTATTTTTTGGTTAATAGATCTGAATAAAAATGCAAAGGAAAAGTAGATCGCAAGGCAAATATATGAGAAAGAAGACCCGGGGGCCGTAGGTTTCACTAGTGGCTTCTCTTGAGAAAAATAGCAAACGGTGGGTAAACAAATTACTGTTGGGCAACTGATAGAACTTCAAATAATTATGACGATATCCAGGCAATGATCATTACATAGGCATCACGTCCAAGATTAGTAGACCGACTCCTACCTGCATGTACTACTATTACTCCACACATCGACCGCTATCCAGCATGCATCTAGTGTATTAAGTTCATGGAAAACAGAGTAATGCAATAAGAACGATGGCATGATGTAGACAAGATCCATTTATTGAAGGAAATATGCCCTAGAGGCAATAATAAAGTTATTATTTATTTCCTTATACCATGATAAATGTTTATTATTCATGCTAGAATTGTATTAACCGGAAACATGATACATGTGTGAATACATAGACAAACAGAGTGTCACTAGTATTCCTCTACTTGACTAGCTCGTTGATCAAAGATGGTTATGTTTCCTAGCCATAGACATGATTTGTCATTTGATTAACGGGATCAAATCATTAGGAGAATGATGTGATTGACTTGACCAATTCTGTTAGCTTAGCACTTGATCATTTAGTATGTTGCTATTGCTTTCTTCATGACTTATACATGTTCCTATGACTATGAGATTATGCAACTCCCGTTTATCGGAGGAACACTTTCTGTGCTACCAAACATCACAACGTAACTGGGTGATTATAAAGGTGCTCTACAGGTGTCTCCGAAGGTACCTGTTGAGTTAGCGTATTTCGAGATTAGGATTTGTCACTCCAATTGTCGGAGAGGTATCTCTAGGCCCACTCGGTAATGCACATCACTATAAGCCTTGCAAGCATTGTAACTAATGAGTTAGTTGTGGGATGATGTATTACAGAACGAGTAAAGAGACTTGCTGGTAACGAGATTGAACTAGGTATTGAGATACTGACGATCGAAACTCGGGCAAGTAACATACCGATAACAAAGGGAACAACGTATGTTGTTATGCGGTTTGACCGATAAAGATATTCGTAGAATATGTGGGAGCCAATATGAGCATCCAGGTTCCGCTATTGGTTACTGACTGGAGACGTGTCTCGGTCATGTCTACATAGTTCTCGAACCCGTAGGGTCCGCACGCTTAAAGTTCAGTGACGATTGGTATTATGAGTTTTTGTGTTTTGATGTACCAAAGGTAGTTCGGAGTCCCGGATATGATCACGGACATGACGAGGAGTCTCGAAATGGTCGAGACGTGAAGATCGATATATTGGACGACTATGTTCGATCACCGGAAAGGTTCCGGAAGGTTTCAGACATATACCGGAGTACGGGGGATACCGGAACCCCCCGGGGGCTTAATGGGCCTACATGGGCCTTAGTGGAAATAGAGGGCAGCAAGGGGAGTGTGGGGCGCGCCCCCAAGGCCCAAACCGAATTGGTTTAGGGCAAGGGGGCGGCCCCCTCTTTCCTTCTCCTCCTCTCCCTTTCCTTTCCCCTCTCCTACTCCTACTAGGAAAAGGAGGAGTCCTACTCCTAGTGGGAGTAGGACTCCCCCTCTTGGTGCGCCTCTCCCTGGTCGGCCGCCTCCTCCCCCTT